GGTGTTGCTTATGTATTTACAATGAAACCAGTTCCCATGGAGAATGCCAATGAAGCTGTGTCTGTTTCTTCACAAGTCTTAATTAACACTCATCCTTAGTATTCTTTAGCCTTTTAATTACAAAACGTTAATTCACATAAATACCTTGATTTCCTAAAACAGGACTTATTTTCTCTTTTAACACCTCTCACATGTAGATAAAAGAAAACACACAACCTTTCCCAACATGAGGATTTGCTCTTTTCTGTTTATTTTTACTTTTTTAGATAAAAGGGGGGGGCAGCCCGTTTCTATTTGTGAGCCTGAGAGGCGTCTCTAAACCATCGAAAGAGCACAGGATAAGTGTGCCAGCTTGAGGTGATACCGTGAATTATAAAAAAAAAGTTTTGCAATTTACAGATGATCTGAATAAAATGCACTAGTGAAAAAAATACAAAGCTGAAAGAAGCGGTCCCTGAGTCTTAGTCTCGCAGTGAATAAAAGAAAGAAAGAACTAACGTTAAAACCCAGATCCAGTAGGCTCAAGGTGAAATGTAATTATAAGTATTTTTTAATAAAATAATTTTGAGTGTATTGTTCTTAAATCGCGGTGCACACGCACTAGGTTTTGATTGTTTTTTTTTTAGAAAGACAAACCTCCACGTTGCCGCCCAGGTTTCTGAAATTAGAGCGCAGCGCTATCTGATCTCTGAAGAGTTGAGCTCAAATAGAGAATTAAAAAACTTTACTCTCATTTTCAGTATCACCTAACAATGAATTTACATTAAATAATAAGTAAATCGATTTGCTCCACACTAATATTAACACTTCAAAATACGGAGCCTTTACCGACATAACAGTAACATAGTAGCTACATAAAATACGAATATACAGTAGATAAGATACTCGTCTAAAGCACAACCAAAGAGCCTACGAATAAAAACAAAGCAGTTAATCAATGAGCATGAACTGCTTAAAATGCGTCGTTATAAGCAAGGACGCTGCTTACGTTGTCTTTTCCGACGTCTATCAGTTGTTGCTACAGGGTTTAAAATAATTTTGCCTTTGCAATACTAAAAATAAAGTGACAGATGAGGGCATTTCCCTTTGAGGTTAATGCTTTCTTAGTCGAAAAAAAGAAACCCACATACACTAATGTTCATAAAAATGACGCAGCAACGAACCATTCAAGTCTTTTTCAGGTCGTATAGTTGATACAGGATGAAGAATCAAGATTTGCTCAGCATCACACTTCTTAGCTGCAGGGCAAACCCAGTAAATGCTGAAGAAGCCATTGATAGTCATCAAAGATGTCAAACATAAAGAGGGCACTGTAGTCATGATGTAAAATGTTTGTAAATAAAATTTGACAAATAGCTGACTGCACTTAATAGCCATATAATTAGTCCTTAGTAAAAGTCTCTACTGTTTTTCTACTGATTCATGTCTAATACTAATGTCTAATTAATGTCTAAGTGATTGAGACCTCTTAGCTGCAGGTGATTGACACTGTATCAAAGTTTTCTTTATGTGTTATACATTACAAAGGGGTTTGTATATGACTTTGCAGCCCCAATGGTAAAGTGTTAATCTTTGGATACTTCAAATTCTCTTTATCAATGGATCATAAGCCAGTTGTTATTGAATTGATAAAATCTTACAGATGGAACAAGCTACCTTCTAGGGGTAAGAGGTGTAGTTCAGGCTATGGTCTGGATTAGGGTTTTGTTACTAATTTTTAATTGAACCATAGTAGGTGTTGGTCACCTTATTAATTCCTTACTGATATATTGCATATTCCTGGCAAAATTGCAAATCCCAAAATTTTGCAAAGCAAAAATAAAACAAAAAGTGATTGTACTCATTAATGAGCAAATGTTCAATAGAAACATAGCTACCATAAAAACCTTTATACATTTCAGTAGGAAAATACGAAGTTTTGTCATAATTTGTGTAATAGTTTATAATAATATGTAATAATAATTATATGCATTATTGACATGCACACCTTTTGAAGCTAAAATATGATATGATCAGATTTAAGGTTAAATATAATTTAAGTAAAAAATGTCAGAAAACTAGAGTTTATCTTAACTCAGGCAAGATGGTTTGGGGGCAAACCCTTTCTCTTAGCAATTTTCCTGTCTGTTCAGGCTTGACAGTTTTTCCATTTCATCACTGTGAACTATACACCCCTTAAACAAGCCATTATCAACACCATATACAATGTGTTGCATTGTGACAATAGTGTACATGATAACAATTTAAATACAAAAGCTTTAAGCAGTAAAAGAGGCTGAAATATGTTTATTAGACTCTTGCTACAGTACATCTTCTTATAATGCACATGGACTCGTGGGTACTGCCTCACAAACTGTCGCTAATTTTAACACTGCTTCGTTTTGTAATAACAACCAGATCGCTCGCATTTGTAAGGAAAGCACAAAGGAAGAAGAGAAAGGCTTGTCTGCACATTCGGAATCGATGCGCTAGTATTTTATTTTGGGGTGTATTTAATATCCTGACCTCGGGTTCCCCGATATTCACTCACGCTCAAGATCGTTCAGACAGCTGACCTGCTGACAGTCTCTCAGGGCTCATCGTCAGGACACTACGCTTTCAGGAACATCAGGAGACTTACATGGTATCTGGAGTACAATTCAGACCTTGTTTTTAATATCATTTTATTTACCGTATTGTTAAATACAATTGAATAACTCTAACAGTAATCTTAAGGGAATCAAACTTACTTAGTAGGATTGATGCTTTGAGGTCTTGTGTAATCTATAAAAACTTTTATTAGCATTAAAAAATAAACTTTAATGCTTTATTCGTTTATATCTATAATAATAATATCACTTTATTAACCCTTTACAATTCCTTGCATTAGGAATTTGTCTTCTCACGTACCCCAGCTTGCTCTCCATGAGACACACAGACAGGGAGAGAGCCTGGGGTCAGAGTGCAGGGTCTGCCTTTGTGCCCCTAGAGCAGTTGGGGTTAAGGGCCTTGCTCAGGGGCCCCACAGAGTAGGATTCCTCTGCCAGTTGTGGGATTTGAACCGGCAACCTTTCGGCCACAGGCGCAGATCCTTAGCCACAGAGCCACTATTAACGACCCGTTATAAACACGTAATTGTATTTAAAGCCTTGGAAGCAGCATATTGATATGAGTTTTTATTCCGCCTCTAGTGTAAACTCCTTGCTCTGTTAATGTGACTCAAACTCACACAGCTGATGCCCACAAGCTGATCCAGGGCCGATAATATGCAAATCAGCACAGGCCACTGGCCAATCACGGTCCAGACCACTAAACCACATGATTGGAGAAAATCAGCATGGTGAAGATGCAAATTCACAATGTTAGAAAGATAGTCAAACAACTCAGGATACGTAGAGATAAAAAAAAATCTATGCATATAATAATAGTTTTTTTTTTCAGATTAGACACAAACTGATGAAAAAGACAACAAAACCTCAATCCCTTTCCACCGCATTCACCAGCCACGACAAAGAACATAAAACATAAGCCTAATTACCAATACATTGATTAAGCAGCACACCGTAAACAGACAGGTGTACTGCCGGTTTGGAATTTAATTTAGAATCCATGGAAATCTGTATTCCCCGTGTGTAATGCGTACAAACCAATCCGTAAAATATAAAATGAAACATCAGTGACTTAAAAAGTCGATCGATTTTATTCCAAGATATTGCAGAAAAGAATTGATTTGCTGGAACAATAAAGCAGATGGCTCCATAGAAGCCATTCCAGCGATTAAGCGATGGGCCGTTATATAACCTGTAATAAACACCGCGTATTGCGCAACTACTCATCTCGTGGATCCGATCTCGACTAATCAAGAGAGCCGACAGCACTTAGCGCTTGGTCTCTCCGCACCCCTGTAGTTCCCGGAGTTATTGTTGCTGTCGGCAAGCCCGCCTTCTTCGTCTCTGACTGAATTGAGTTTGCTAATTAAGTAATTTGGAATGTGTGGTTTGCAGGAGAATTTATTCAGTTGTTTCCATTAGTGTTCTTGTTGTAATGTACAGTAAACCAGTCATCGAAGTATAATTTACATGAAACTGTAAAATGTATAGCATAAAAATCAGTGTATTGTTTTAATTGTAAGCCTTTTTGTGAATTTTAACAATTTAATTGCGGAAGAAGTTGATTTACTGGCACCTACGTCTTTGGAGATGTAATGAGTACATCTGTCAGAGCCCACTGTAATTGAAGAAAGTACACAGAAGTGTAGAAAATTCGAGTACCAGACATTCAGTACAAATAATTTAAGGAACAAGGTCATTCACAGGAATAATAAAAGACCACACAGTATAGTACGCACCTTTTATTATTTTGATGAAAGAAACAAATGGTAGAACAAATTAGCAACTGACCTCATCTTGTTAATCGTATTAATTCTAAAATTCTTAACAATGTTATCATAAAACCACAATTCCGTTTACAATATACTACGGTTTTAAGATTTTAATAATTGATTAGTCAAAGATTACTTAAGTTTTAATAATAGATAATAATAGTTTAATAATAGATTACTTAAGTTTTTTATTTGAATGCAGATTAACGCCTTAAAATATAAAAAACACAATATCAGCAATTGAAAATAGAAAAAAAAAACATGGTAAGCAAATATAAATTGGTCCAGTGGAACAATCAAATTATTCCATTCGATTTTCTTTGAACACATTGTAATGCTGTTAATAAAACACAATGCGACAGAAAAGACAATTGTGTTAAAAGATGCAGTTAATAGTTTTTGTTACTCATATATAATACTATAATAGTTCAGGCGGGTAGCTGCGTCAGCATGCGTAGGCTGCGAAGGAACAATAGGTTTATTCCTTGCTGAAAAGAGAAGAAAGAAAACACAACGTTTCAGCCGTGAAGCCTTCTTCAGGTGTGAGCAAACGTTGTGTTTTCTTTCTTCTCTTTTCAGCATGGAATGAACCTATTACTTGTTCCTATAATACTATAAGCAAAGGCAAATAAAGGGTCTCTTTTCGTGGAGTAAAGTCATTTGGGTTTGACTGTCATCTAGTGGGGAATAGTGGTATCACAACGTTCACCCGCCATTTCTGCATTTCAAGTCGTTGCTCCAGTTCAGACTTAATTAGTGGAGCGATCTTCAGCACCACAGTTAAATAAGTATATAAGGATACATTCAGTAAATAATAAATTGAAAGGTTCAATTTCCTGTAATGGCTTGGAACGAGAGTAACAATTATCTGCACTGATGTAGAACTTCTCATCCCAGAGGATCTTGGGATGGATTTGTCAATGCTGACTTGTCTGAACCAACACCCTTTCCAGAGCCAAGACTGGAGAGAGACGGTTGAGGAATTTCAAGGAATGATGAACTAAATTTGAGACACATTTTGGGAGCAACATGACATTTGGTGACTGTTTTGTCACCAAGGGTTTACATAAGTACTTCTCAACCAGTTTTGCAGTGAGAAGTCACAGACAGCAGGAATCCATGAATTAGGTTAAGTAAGCTTATTCCACGTTTATTTCCCCTCCAGATTTAGGTGCAGCACAATGAGAAATGGAGCTAAGCTTTTTCATCGGCATGTACCGTAGCACCATCTCATCTGCAGTCTTCAGTCTTGTTCTTTACCTCTTTAAGATCATATAGATAGATAAGACTGTATTGATCCCAAAGGGAAATTGTTGTGTTGCAGCAGTCCATATACTGTAGCTTCCCCCTAAGAAGAGATTTGTGCCTTTTTTTATTTTTCAAACTACAGTATACTGAGTCATGAATTAAATTGCTCCTCGGAGCATTTCGGCTAATTTATGTGAACTCAATTTCTGACTTGCCACTACAGGTGAGGGAAATGGTTCAGGTTAAGGCTGCAGAAAGAAGAGGATAGAGTTGTTAAAGAGTTATTCGGAAGACCCGTATCATCACATCGGTGCAGATCCCACTTGCTTTGGAAACTGGTGCATTGACTCTAGATCCCACAGACTTTGAAAAGTGTTGTGTTTGTGCCAGGGGGCTTCTATTGTGCTGCCAGTCCCGTTGGGTGGCTGGGATTCAGGGGAATAATTTAATTTCTCACCTGTGGTAACAGAGCAGAAAGACAGGCAAAATAAAAAGGCGATTAAAGAACGAAAACAAATACCAGATTCCAAATACATACCGACAGTTTATAATATTACATTTTGAATGGGTGCGATCAACGTGCTCATTATTTCAGTCATTAATATGACAAATTTGCCAAGACCGGTCGGTGTCCTTTTGTTTTGTTTCATTTCCAAGACTTTTTAAAATCACAGTTTTTGAAAATCAACATTGCTTCAATTAACCACCATGACATTTTTTGTAAAGTTCTGGTTTAATCACTCACAAATTCTTACTAACTAAAGAAATCCCCCCTGATTCATGACATAAAAAGAGAGCAAAGTTTAATCAGGTTTGCTAGAGGGGCATTTGAAATCATTGTGCACATGTAGCAGAGCTAGTTCGGATACGGTGACGTCAGCGCCCTCACTACGCGTAGCAGGGACCTCAGCTGGCTGGGTTGAGGAAAGTCTCCTCTAGCTCAGGCAGCTGGTTCCCTGTTGCGTCACGCTGGAGACCCGGGTTCGTGCCCCCAGCTGCTGCGGGATGGAGCGGGGGGCACGACACTGCAAAGTCATTCCATGCCTTCTCAGGACTCACAGGGCTGTAGGAGTTTTGTGTTTCTTGGAATCTGAGCACTGGAGATTATGCAGTGGTTTCATCTCTTACTTTCCTGCTTCGCTCATTGAAAAGGCCAACAATCTTTGCGAAAGGGATAACCTGTAGGATTCAGTACAAACAACTGGCATTTCCACCTCCTACCAGTAGAGGTCGCTTTCTCTTCCTTCCTGCTAGGATTTGCTTACAGTAAAGCAGGACATATTTTCTCATAATGCTTCCAGTTTCCTTGACTCTCCCTGGGAGTGGTTCTCAAGCTCGGCCTTTTCTGTATGTGTTGTGCACCAGATGAATGACTAATCACAGCCTATAATTTAATTGCTTTTCAGCTTTGACGATGTTGTATGGGTCTTGTATCTGATACAAGATAATGGAGTCCCCATTACCTGTAAAGCGCTTTGAGTGGAGTGTCCAGAATAGCGCAATGTAAGTGTAAGCAATTCATTAATTATTATTATTATACAAAACCTGCACAAATTAGCTTCAGAATTGCCTTCCCTCAGGTGTGCTATCTGAAATGTGACCAACTGGACTAAGGCAAAAGGAAACACACTAACTTTGGGAGCTGTCTGATACACCCACCTGCATCTATTCTTACTAAAAATAGTAAGCAATCCTTAACTGGCTAGCTTAAGCTTTAGTTGCTCAAAATAACGCACTTTAGCTATAGGATAGGTTTGAAACCAAGTCCTTAGAAAACAATTGGCGAGATCAAGGTGCTTACTTGATGTTCTATGTGAAAGTCTGGGGATTTTACAGTTTTAACGTGTAGGGAGACTCAATGAATTTAGAGAGAACTCCAGAGAAAACTTTCTTGGGGGACTCAATGAAGACTGGAACAACTTTACAGGTTCTTTACGAAAATTTCCAACAGCATCTTAAATTCAAGAACTACTTAAAATGATCATAAATTAAATTCAATTGGAGCCCAAAGTGACTGGACCACAATAGAACCTTGCTAGACAATGACACAAAGTATTTGTGTCACTTTGTATTTGTGTCACTTGTATAGAAAAAGCTCTTGTCCCATCTCACAAAATATAAGTTGACATTTCAGTACATAAACTGATGAAGATATTTGCGATAAAATCATTGGTGTTTATCTTTTTTAACAACATTTGTTCAGTATACATCAATATTTCAACAATTTAAATACTGATGTTTAGATTTCTTTGGAAACAATTGTATTATGGCTTATTTGGAGAAAAAAAACAACAATTTTTAAAATCAGAAATATATAAATCCATTTAAGATGGATCACACCTTCACCATGGTGACAATGCTGCTGTAGATGAAGGAGATGAGGAAGAGGATGATGAATATATAGGCGGTGGTCCAAATTTGCTGCACGTCGTCCTCGGGGATGAAGATATGTGCGGTCTCGTCGAAGTAGTCCTGCTCTTTGATGATGTCTTCAATGGAGGAAACAAGCACATTTCAGTATTAAAACTGATAGCAGTTTGCTTATAGATGCATCAATATGTAATGTAATTGTCACACCACAAGGAGGCATTGCCTAGAAAAAGAAGAAAAAAACATTCACACAGAATACACAACAAATACAAAAATAACAATTCTGGGGAAAATAAAAAGAAATTAATATTTGCAAGGTAATACGAGCTGTTATGTTATGGGTTATGTTAATCTCTTACTCTCACCTTTATGTACATTGTTGGTCGAATCATTGAACAATAAAATTAGTATGCTTCTAGCCTGACTCCTAAGTGTTTTATTGTAGTGAACATTTTGTTCCAGGTTGGAACGCAATCATAGGATGCTAAGCTTTCTAGGGAATGGGTCTGCGACTCCTGTTCTATAATTATCAAAAGTTATTCTGGCTTTGCTTACAGTAACATGATCAACAATAATCTAGGAACTGTCTCCTCGGAGAAGCCAGAAATCTGAACTATTCCCTTAGATTTAGAGCAACTAACATGGAAATCAACGGTAATTCACACTAAAAATTAAGCAGCAGAGACACAGAAGCAACAGGTAAATTGCTGATTGGTCCAACAAGAGAACACAGGGCAGGTTGTTTCTCAGCAATACGATTACAGGCTGCAGATACGCATTCGCGTAAATATCCTGGTATTTTAGCCGCCCACTCGTTTAGCGGGAGTTTAGGTGGGTAGTAATGGTGGCGGTTGTGGGTGTTGCGTATTACTGGACGTTACAATTTGCGATCTCAAGGAAAGGTACAAACTGAAGAAAAATTAGCTAGGGTAAGTGTTACTTTTTTTAGACATTTTTTAAAAAGATACCTAAACCTTACTTTTGACTATATGTTTGAGCCAGTAGTCGAATCGATC